GGAGGAGGAGAAGGAATAAGAGGAGGATGAGGAGGAGGAGGAGGAGGAGGAGGAGGAGGAGGAGGAGCAGGAGCAGGAGGAGGAGGACATCTCTGGTTTTGGGCCCCGGGAACCTTCTTCGCTGGAGCACGCCGCCCGGGGCGGCGGCGTCCCGCTTGGCCTGCGCAGCCAGCCGCGCAGGTGCTGCCCTGCGACCGCGCCGGCGGCGAGAGGGCGCCCGCGCTCGAGGAGGCGGCCTTCGCGGAGGCGCCGCCCTCGCCTTCGCCCCCCCCCCCCCCCCCTTCCTTGAGAGGTGGCGCGCGGCCGGGGAGGGAGGGAGCGGAGGAGGCAAGGAGGGAGGGATGGAGGAGGGACGCCAGCGGGTTTGCAATTCGGAGGTTGTCGGGCGTTTTCGTCAATTCTCGGCGGTTTTCCAGCCTCGGGATGCGTTCTAGCGGATACTCCTCGCCGAGAGCGTTCCGGGGGCGCCAGGATCGTCCCGAACGGCCACGGGAGAGCCGAGCTATGACCCGAAGATCACCAGGCGTCCGAGGGAGGCTTTTTCCAAATGAAGGAGGGAGGAGGAGGATCTGTCCTCTCTCCTTCATTCGGGAGGAGCGAGCGACAGAAAAGCGCGTCCAAGTTGTTCGAACTCGCCTTGCTCAGGGAAATACGTTGAGTTTCTCCATACACTGACCGCGCTGTAAGCAAACGAGATTCGACCGTTGGTCAGCGCGGGTCTTGGGCTCACGCGGGAGCCTTTCACAAAGGAGCCGAAGGTTTCTGCCGTACTGCGTGCTGCCCCCCTAACGGCCTCCGCGACCCAGGGTGGGCCCCCTCGTGGCCGCCCTCGGGTCGCAGGCCTGAGAAGGGGTGTGTGGGTAGGGTTTGAGTTTGTTATGTTCTGTCTGTTTAGGTTTGCTGTTTGTGTTGCTTTGTGCATTTCGAACGATGATTATTGTTGATCACCCCTGTCTGGTGCACATTGTGTTTTTGTTTAGTTGAAGTGCCGCTCCCGGGGCTCGCACCGTGTTTTTAGAAGGGAAGCTCTTCCTCAAAGTTTGACCCTGGCCGCCGGTTTACAATCAGCGGCTCCCGCCTGATATTTCCTGGCAATTTATTTGAGAATCGCGCTCTCGCGTGGGAGTTCTCTTCAATTCATGCAGCATTCGCGCTCTCGCGTGGTTTTCCACCTCACATTTTTTGCGGTGCCGTGCCCCGAAGACTCTGGAACCACGCTTTCGCTTTGGATTTCCTCACGATGTTCTTGAGAATCGCGCTATCGCTCGAAACTTCCTTCATGATGTATTGGCGCTTTAGCGACCCGCCCCCCCGACCTGGCCGTCTGGTCCCGCCTGCCCGACTTGCCCGTCAGGGTCCGCCAGCCCGACCGCCCGTTTGGTTTTGGCGCTTGTACTTCTGCTCCTAGGCCTCCTCCTGCAAATCTCCTTCGTGGTTCATCCTTCTCACTCCTTCCGTCTCTTCCCTCCTCTCTTCGCTTCCCTGTTTTAGGGGCTGCGCCAACTACGCGCGGCAGTGAGGGACGCTGTACCTTCAAGGGCGGTAGGATCGAAGATGAATAGGGCGGGTAGCGAGGGCTTGGGATACACATATTGAATGGCACGCAGGCAGATAAGAGCGAGCATTCTTAAGATGATTGTTATGATTGTCGTTGCTGTTGTGGTTGTTGTGGTTGACCTTTCATTACTGACGAAGAATTATTGTTGTTCCCCTCCTCTGGGGCACATCGTGTTTTTCAACTGAAGTGCCCTCTCCGGGGTTCGCACCCGGTTTTTTATTAGGGAGAGTTTTGGGTCTCAGAATTGTTTTTTTGGCCCCCGGTTTGAAACAACAGCGGCTTCCGCCTGATACTTCCTCACAATTGATTCCCAAATCGCACTCTCGCGCGGGACGTCCTTACAAGTTATGCAGAAATCGCGCTCCCGCGTGGGAATTCTTCATAATGTATTCAGGCGTTGCGCCTCCATCCCTTAGGAATCACTCTGTAGCTCTCTCTTTTCTCGTGATCTACCTGGGGATCGCGCTATCGCTCGAGACTCCCTCGCGATTCATGCTCACGCTTCGGCAACTCGCCTGCTCGACCTTGCCGCCTGGGCCTGTCTTCCCGACCCGCCGGTTAGGGTCTACCCGCCCGATCTGCCCGTCTGGTTCTGCCACGTGTTTTCTCCTTGCCCCTCTCCTGCTAATCTCTCTCGTGCTCCATCCTCCTCCCTCCCTCTTCCATCCGTCCTCTCTTCCCCTGTTTTAGGGGCTGCGCCAACTACACGCGGCAGGTAAGGAAGATGTACCCCCAAGGGGGTACGATCGAAGACGATTAGGATGGGTGCCGAGGGTTTGGGACATGCAGGTTGAATGGTATGCGAGCATGTAACAGCGAGCAGTTGTCCAATAATTGTTGTTATTGTTGATGAGGTCTCATTTCAAACGAAACATTTTAGTGGATTCCCCCTGCCCGTTGACCGTTGTATGCGTTCAATTAAAGTGTGTCTCCCGGGGCTCGCACCCAGTTTGCCGCAAGGGACAGTGAGTTGTCACCTATCTGCGTTGTTGGGCCCCGAACTGCAAAAAACAACGGTTTCCGCCTGATACATCCTCACAATTATTCCCAAATCGCGCTATCGCGCGGGACTTTGCCACAATGTATGTAGGAATCGCGCTCTCGCGTGGGACGTTCTAACAATTTATTATGACGCCGCGCCCTCGACACTCAGGAATCATGCTCTCGCTGTGGATGTCCTAACGATTTACTTCGGATTTGCGCTATCGCTCGAGACTCTCTCGCGATCCATGCAGGACGCACGCTTTAGCAACCCGATTGCCCCTGGACCCTTCCTTCCATCCCTCCTCGCTTCCCCTTCCGTAGAGGCTGCACGAAATACACGTTGCAGGTAAGGAAGGTATGCCCCCAAGGGGGCTTTGATCGAAGACGAAGAGGGCGGGTATCGAGGGTTTGGGATATACGTATTGAATGGCACGCGCGCTGATAAGAGCGAGCAGTCTTAAGATGATTGTTGCTGATATCTCACTACTGAAGAATATTTGTTGGTGATCCCCCCTCCGGGGCACATAGTGCTTCTTCGATTGGAGTGCCCTTCCAGGGCTCGCACACGGTTTCTTGGGGAAAGTCTTGGGTCTCAGACTTGTGTTTTGGGCTCCCAGTTTACCTTAACAGCGGTTCCCGCTTGATACTTCCCCGCAATGTCTTGAAGAATCGCGCTCTCGCTTCCGTAGCCATTTTGGCTCAAGGCTCCGAGGATCGCCCCAAGACGGCCCAGTAGTCTTCAAAAGCGCCCAAAGACGGAGTTTTAGTAGCCATGTCGGCCGCGCGTTGCTGCTTGCTGCTCGCCGTGGCAGGCAGCTCTGCCGTCATGGACATCGAGGGGAAGGGCGGGCATCTCCGGAGGCCCAGAGAACAGGCGCCCCATAGTCTCATAGTGGGCGATGGTTCGAAGGTGCATGTGAGCGTCGAGGTACTGGAGAGTGGAGGAATGCTTATTGGCACCACCGCGATCGAGGAGCCGGCCCGCATAGAATCCGCGGATCTGTTCACGCAGCTCGGGGTGTCCTGGTTGGCGCTGGTGCTCGGCGGCGGCGTCTTCGTCATCTTGCCCAGGTACCAGACCCTGGCGCAGTTGTTCCTGTTCTTCGGGGCCCAGAACTTCATGAACTTGATGTACATCACGGCGATCCTGCACATCCACACGGTCTCCCAGGAGCTCAACATACGGGGCTTCTATGCGACCCTAGTGCTGACGGCCATGCAGCAGCTCGCGGGCTTCCTCTTCCTCGCGCTGGCGATCCTCGTGTCCCAGCTGACGGACGCCGTGGGCCTACAGGCCGCACACCATCGTCAGCAAGGACCAGGCCTGCGCGGTGATGGCCCTCGCAGTGTGCTTCACCCTGAACATCGCCCTCAACAACTTCAGCCTCTTGCCCCTGGACATGTCCGTTAACGTTATGGTCCGCTCCACGAGCCCGCTGATGTCTCTTCTCCTGCAGCTGTGCTTTCCTGCGAAGGTAGGCATGGTGCTACTCGGCGTCATCTGCGCGGCGCTGGTGGTTATCTCCAAGAGCGCCCAGAAGAAGACGGCGGCCCAGAACGAGGGCGGCGGCAACGACACGCTGGGTCTCCCTGGAGCTCATCGTAGTGGTGATTCTTGGCAAGGGGTCAAGCTGAACGCTATCGACTCGCTTATTTACATGGCCATTCCAATCGTCGTGCTGCTGTTGTTGCCCATCTACTTGATCAAGCACCCCGTGTCTTATCCTGGGCACGAGATGGCCACGAATTTCAGCGTGTTCGTGGAGATCGCCCAGCTGAGCCTCGGCACCGTGGTGCGGGTGATGCTGTCCGGCATCTGGGCCCTCGGCTACAACCTCTTGCTGTACAACATTGTCAGGGACCTCTCCCCGTTCTTCGCGTCGTTTGCCGCAAACTTCAAAAGGTGGCGGCCATCGCCCTGGCCCTGCTCATGGGCATGGAGTCGCTGCAGGCCGGCCGCTGGAAGTACCTGATGTGCGCGGGCGTGGCGGGGAACACGGCGGCCTGCACCGCGTACAGCCTGTGGCCGCCGCAGCCGAAGAAGGAGCTTTCTGAAGAATGCAGCAGGGCTCTGCTGCAGAAAAGGCGTCTCCCACTGCAAAGCCATACAAAATCACATTGACTCCAGTTTTGGAAAGGGGGATCAATCCATTCGGAATCTGGCCGAAATTCATGCGAGAATCCATGCGACTGTCCATGCGAGTATGCTACGCATCGACAGCGGCGGTCAGCAACGCGTCCTGACGGCCGCTTCTAATTTAGGCAGCCTGCGGCTAATTGAAGCAGCCTGCCTGCGAATCGTCAGCCATTCCAAATTCGTGGCAGTGCTCTGCCATCGACGTTTCTGCTGGGCCAACCACTGCCCGACCTTCATGCGCGCATGTCCGTGTAATTATGATGTTGTCTTCACTGTTTACGCGGCCCTTCAAAATAGACAGGGAACCGCGCGCCCGAATAGACACGACACCCTTGTCTTCCAGGGAATCGCTGTGTGCACTGAGTCTCACCCTTTCTCTCCTCTTCCCGCTCCTCCTCCTATTCCCCGCCGGGGAGCAGGTGGAGGATATCTCTTAGATCCGTCGGTGCCCGTAGCTTTTTGAACTTGCTCGAGGCCTGACGAGGACACAGCCTAGATGAGGTGGATCGCGCAAGCCAGGCCCTCATGACGCGGCAGGAGCCCCCCGACCACACCGAATACGAGACACCACCCGACGCCGCCGGCAGTGCACGGGTACGGCCGCCAGCGAGCAGCATTGCGGCCAATTGCCGGCAAAAAAGGCTGGCGCACGGCGTCGAGTTTAGTGTTTTTTTGGCGTGGCCGCCCCGAGCATAGGCAAGACCACCAGCTCCCCCCCGGACCGCCGTCTCCTCGGTGCCCCCATCAGCCCTTCTATCCTTCCCTCCGTCCTCTTCCCTCCTTTCCCTCCCTTAGGGGAGTGCACTGGCAAAGACAGCCGACAGGATGCGCTGCGAGATCATTGCGCAGTGACCAGCCAGGGCAGCGGCAGATTGGCAAGGCTTATTCAAGCAGCCAGGCTTGCTACCTTGGCGTACCTTCCTGCTCTAATACCTCTGCAGGTCTATGCGTCAGCTGGCGCCTCAGTGTTCTTCTTTGCCAGTCGTCCTTGGCCCTTGGCCAGCTCCAGATTCATGATGTTCGAATCGTCGGTGCTGGCGCTCTGCGGAACAAAAAAAAAAGAATCGCGCTCTCGCTGGGGACATTTTCACAATTCATAGAGAAATCGCGCGCCCGCGTGGGACTTCCTCGCAATTTGTCCAGATGCCGCGCCCTCGACACTCAGGAATCAGGCTCTCGCTGCGGATTTCTTACGGTTTACTTAGGACTTGCTTTATCGATTGAGACTTCCTCGCGATTCATGCAGAACGCACGCTTCAGCATCCCGCCTGCTCGACCTGGCCGCCTATGCCCGCCTGCCCGACCCGCCCGCTAGGGTCTGCCCACACGATCTGCCCGTATGGTTCTGCCACGTGTTTTTTGCCCCTAACCTCCTCATGATAATTCCGTGCTCCATTCGTCTCCCTCCCTCTCCAAGCGTCCACTCTCCCCCTCAAGTACACGCGGCAGGTAAGTAAGATATATCCCCAAGGGGGTACGACCGAAGGCGAAGAGGATGGGTATTGAGGCTTTGTGATATTCGTTTTGAATGGCACGCGTGGCACGCGAGCAGATAAGAGCGAACAGTCTTGCAGTGATAGTTGTTGTTGCTGCTGTTGCTGTTGGTGTTGCTGCTGTTGTTGTTGTTGTTGTTGGTTATCTTGTGGTTGTGGTCGTGATTGTGGTTGTGGTTCTTGTTGTTTTTGTGCATCGGCGATGCGGCGCGATCCTCCGACCCCGTCTACTCGGAACCAACCTGGGTGGCCTCTAACACGGCTATCTCCTCGAGAGGTGCCGCTCTCACTTCCGCCAGGTTTTCCGCCCTGGCGCACCCGCTCCCGTTGTGCCTGTGCCAGTTTCCGCCGTCCGTCCGCCGCCCTCCGCCGCGCGAAAGAGGGCAACCTCTGATTAGGCACAGCAGGAGAAAAGCAATGATCGCTGTGAACGTTGTTATCGTTGTGACCGCTGTTATCGTTGTGATCACACTGTCATCGTGATCGTTGTGATCGCTGTTCTCGTGGTGGTCGTTGTCGTCGTGATCGCTGGCGGCCTCTCGATCCCTCGACGGTAGATCCGCCGCTCCGTCTCCGCCGGCATCCGCCGACCTGGAGATCCGGGCGTTGCAGCGTGTTCACGCCGCGCGCTGGCGCCGGGGTTCTGACTCTGGGCCCTGGGCCCTGGGACCATCGTGCGGATCCGGCTCGCCAACATGCAGCAGCAGAAAGATCGGGCTTGTGGCTCCAGCAGCGATCTGTGTCGCGACGCTGCACTTTTTTTTCCGCCGCGTCGGACCCGAGGGGAAGGCGAGGTGCACCCGCAGCGAGGCGCTTTCTGCAGCGCCCTGTGGCCGGTGACCCCCCGCCCCCGCGGCAGCCCATGGGCCCCCCGAGCGGCTCGAGGCTCTGGAGCCCCTTGTTGCGTTCCGCCACGCGCAGGGGTGTGTGTGTGTGTGTGTGTGTGTGCGTCGGGGGATAAGGCACTGGTTCGAGTAGTGGACCGACTACAGAACGGATTTGCCCCCAAAATTGCGTTCCCCGCCGGATCTACGACAAAATGCGTATAACGTTCCGTAGATCCACGAACATTCCGAAAAGAACAAGGAAAGGTCGTGGGGGGTCGTGGGAAAAGGTGCGGATATTGTTGCAGTCGACCCGCATAGCAAGCGTGGGCAACCTTCCCAAGGGTACCCCTGCATCCTTGCCCCTTGGGCCCATCCTCAGTTCTTTTCGCTGGCCAAAGTCGTTCGAATAACGTCAACAGCGGCCTCCAAGGCCCTCGCATCCGTACCGCGTATCCTTATGATACGGGTTGACTGTAGGGGGAAAAGGTACCGATACCGCTACTCTTCCCCTGGTTTTCCTCTGTTTCAGCTTCCTTGGAGATCCTCGTCGCCACCGCTGGATTCGCCCCGAAATCCTTGTCAGAACGCGCCCCGGGAGAGGTCTGGGGAGCAGCGGTATCGGTACATATTGGTGTCATGCGCAGAGGGGGGTAGGGCAGGGGGGAAGGTTTCTCAGAGGCACCCCTGCTTCTTAGAAGGCGCGGGCCTTATCTATAGATGTAGGGCTCGCGCCTTCTCAGGAGCAGCCTCCTTCTAAGGAGCCTTCCCCCCTCCCCCTGAGCCCCTTCGTGCGCGCCGCCAATGCTTGGACTGATGAGTCGGATCCCTGGCACGGCGACGACCTTCGCTTGGGAGAGGACCCAGAGGTCTGGCGGCTCGAAACAATCGAAACCGCAGTTCTTCTTCGCCACTCTGGCCCTCTCGAGGCCGGCTTCGGGCTCGGGATTCGTAACAACAGCGCTTGGGGTACCGTACCCCAAGCGCTGCCCTTGGCCCGTTTTCCACCTTTTCGGCCTCCTAGGAGGCCCCCGTCGCCACCGCTGGGTTCGCCTCGAAATCCTGGTCAGAGCGCACTCCAGGAGAGGGCCGTGGAGTAGCGGTCTCGGTACCTTCTGGTTCCCAATGCTCGGGACAAACATTTTCGCTGGTAATTACGGCTTCGGGTTGAGGACACATCGGGCGGCTCGAGACAATCGAGATTGTCCGCTTTTCGTGGCTCTCTGCAGGCCGACTTCGGGCGCCGTGCTCGCAGTATAAAGCTACTCGGGACGAGCAGCTTGGCCCAGGGATGAGGTCAAGAGGTCCAGGGGCCCATGTCTCGAACAAATCGCGCCGCCCGATCCTTGGTCAGGACGAGAGGGCCGTCGCGGGAGGCAGCGTCCATTCCAGATGTGCGCGTTGGAGGTTTGGGATGCCTTCCGTTCTTCACACGGGGGGGAAGACGGGAAGGTGGAAGATGAGGAGGAAGAGGAGGAGAGGAGGGAGGCACCCGTGCGAGCGGAAAGCCGACTCGGGTGAGCTGGGCCGAGGGCGCTTCGAAGTTCATCCACGGCTGAATCCAAAGCCAAGGCTGACGTGCACAGGAGGGAGGAGCAGCTGCGCATCATGGGGCGCACAGCCGTCGGATCGCCGCGTGGAACCGTGTCCCCCCCCGCCTAGGCGAAGCTGCTGCAGCGGCTGCGCCATCCGCACGTCGTGGGCTGCCACGAGGTGCCCGCCTCCGAACGCTCGAGGCTGGAGCTTCGCTGTAACGTGTGCTTGTTCTTGTATCATTTTTGGGGGCCATCGGAGGGGATCCGCCACGGTTGGATCCGCCACGGCTGGAGCCGCTGTGGCAGGCTCCGGCGCGCTCGCGGACGGGCGGCTGCGCGGTCGGTTGGCGGCCGGGGGCGCGGGCGCGGGGGGAGGCAGCGGAAGAGGCCCCGGGACGCACAGATCAAATCCACATCAATCACATGATTCCCCATATCTTTTCCCACATGTTTTTGTTCTCGTCGCCACGGTTGGATCCGCCTCAGATCGGCACCGCCCAAGCCGATGGCGCACACCATGCGGGTGGCCTGGCGCGCGCCTCCAAAGGGGGCGCATAATGTACTCCGCAGCCATTTTGGCTCGAGTGATCTTGGCTCGGGCGGCTGAAAAGGGCCAGCCGGCGCCTCGAGTGCAGCAGACGCCGGTCCCTGCGAGGTTTGCTTGGCAACGCCTGGGTAGTCCTGCCGATTTCGGGCGCGGTGTGGACTGGCGGCGCCCTCTGCCCGAGCATCCTGGATGCCAAGCGCGCCAGTGCCAGTTCGCAGTATGTGGCCGCTATACCTGGTTCTTTGGGAACGTTGGGGTCCGTTGGTTCGAACTCACTTCCGATCCAAACGTGGGAGAACGTCGGGATATTGAACATTGGGAACGTCGGGAGACTGAACTTGGCTAGGTCCCCCAACGAGGTAAGCGTGACCAATTCTCCGAACGGGACAGACGCGACTAGGTTCTCCCAACCATGGAGACGTGGATGAAGACAAGGTGGAAGAGGCGATTGCTGACGTGGCTAGGTCTTCCAACGAGGTAAGCGTGACCAAGTCTCCCAACGGGAAAGAATCGGCTACTTCTCCCAGCCATGGAGACGTGGATGAAAACAAGGCGGAACTGGCGAATGATGATTTGGCTAGGTCTTCCAACGAGAAACGCGTGGCTATGTCTCCCAATGTGGAAGATATGTTTTGTTTTGAGGGGCAATGCTCGTTGCGCCTTGATCGCCAGAGCGCGGAGTTCCCGAACTTGTGCCTTGGTGTTGGTCCTGGGAGATCTGGAAGCACTAGCCTCATTGGCGCACTGAAAGATCATCCAAGTGTGATTGCAGGCGACGCACGAAATCATCCGACCCAGAAGTGATGCTACTACGAGCTGTACATACTGGACAAGTTGTGGCAGTGTGCGAAAGGTCAGAGCGTGTACGTGGATTCCTTCATTCACGACACGAAATCAAACATAAAAACCCATTGGTTCGGGGAGAACTCCCATGTGCTCGTCGCACCGGCTGATCCCCTTCCGGACGAGGGCCATGTTCGGCCCCTCGCTCAAGTTGTTTCTCACCTGGCGCAATCCAGTCGAGATCTTCGCGTCGCGGTATCTTCTATTGTATGAAGAGTCGATGGCAAGTCTGCATTATGAAGTTTTTCGGCAGTGGGCGGATCGTCACTTGGACCATTTCAGGGAAGTTGCAGAGTGCCGCAAGGATCTGCTGCGGAAGGTGTGTTTGACGGAGCGCACGATCTACGATTCGATGTTTCCCATGCGTGCGACAGCCGCAATGGAAGAGTACCTTGTTCGATTGTGTGGCCACATGGATGATGGTCCGCATGCAGCTTTGGAAGGTCGAGGCATGTTCTGTCGGTGGGCTCACGTTTTTGGTAAAAGTCAAATGTTGTGTGTATTTCTGGAAGACCAGAACACCAGCATGAACTGGGTGCTCGACCGGATGGCAGCGCATCTGGGCGTTGATCGAAACGGTTTCATTGATCAGCCTAGTGCCCATAAAACAACTCAACGCCTCGTTCGACATTCTTGCGCGAAACCAGATGCGCTACGGTTCACATGCGGTCAAGGAGATGTGGGGCACCATCGCGGAAATCCAGGCCATGGATCGTGAGAGTTTGACGTTAGAAGACTTGCGCTTATTCTCCGAGTTGTGCAGTCGGTGATCGCGCTCTTGTTTCACCCGCACTCCTCTCTTGCCGCCCCCTCTCAGCCCTGGCCAGCCCTGGCCACTCCCACTTTCACTGACTTTCAAACTTCCCCAGCTTCCCTCCACATGTGTCGCCGGCGCGCGCGTCTCAGGAGGCTTTTGCTTTCCTCATGAGCTCCTTGCGGCCAGTGAATGTGGGCTCTCGAGGCCCATTCGCCAATGCGGAGGGGGAAAACAAGGGGGCGCATAGTACTAGCACTTATCTTCTGTTTCTTTTGCGTCCCATCAGAAATCTGGTCGGAACGCCCCCCCCTTCTCCTCCTTCTCCTCCTCTTCCTCCTCCTCCTCCCTCCTCCTCCTCCTCCTCCTCCTCCTCCTCCTCCTCCTCCTCCTCCTCCTCCCTCCCCTCCTCCCCTCCTCCTCCTCCTCCTCCTCCTCCTCCTCCTCCTCCTCCTCCCCTCCTCCTCCTCCTCCTCCTCCTCCTCCCCTCCTCCTCCCTCCTCCACCTCCTCCTCTCCTCCTCCTCCTCCTCCTCCTCTTCCTCCTCCTTCCTCTTCCTCCTCCTCCTCCGCCGCCTCCTCCTCCTCCTCCGCCGCCTCCTCCTCCTCCTCCTCCTCCTCCTCCTCCTCCTCCTCCCTCCTCCTCCTCCTCCTCCTCCTCCTCCTCCTCCTCCTCCTCCTCCTCCTCCTCCTCCCCCCCCCGGAACAGGCCTGGGGTCAACTCTTGATCCCTGCGCCCAGAGCCCCGTCCCTTGACGGCCCCGCTGGGAAGCCCGCCTTGTGCGCTGCCCAGGGGGGCGGGCCACGCTTTGTTCCTGGACTGGCTCGGCTCGTGTCGCGAGCAAAAGATGCAACGGACGTGCCCCCCCATTTCTTCTTCGGGGGCCGGGCCCTGGAACAGTGAAGAAGACGTGTCGAGATGAAACGCTGGCCCCCAAGAAGGTCGGCGGCGAGTTTGGGGCGGAAGTGAGAGGGTGCAGGCCTTCTCAGAAGGCTCGGAAGGCCTTCGGCCTTCTGAGAAGTTGTTTCAAGCCTTCCCTGAAGACGCAGGAGTCTTCTCAGAAGGCGCGAGGGCTTCCGAGAAGTCCCGCCGACTTCTGAGAAGGACTGCCCCCTTTCACTTTCACCCTGGGCTCGCCGTCGCGTCGAGACGCCTGGGGAGCTGTCTCTGTGAACAAGAAACACGACGCCGGGCGTCTAGGCAGCCAGCCCGGGTGCTGCCCAGACAAGGCCGCGGCCACGCCTTGGACGCCTCCTCCTCCTGCGTTGCGACAAAGTCGCGACGTCGGATATCTGAGAGCAGCAGGAAGAGGGAGAGGAGGAGGAGGAGGAGGAGGCGGAGGAGGAGGAGGAGGAGGAGGCGGAGGCGGAGGATGAGGAGGAGGAGGAGGAGGAGGAGGAGGAGGAGGAGGAGAACGAGGAGGAGGAGGAGGAGGAGGAGGAGGAGGAGGAGGAGGAGGAGGAGCAGGAGCAGGAGCAGGAGCAGGAGCAGGAGGAGGATCGCGTCAGCACGGATCGTGACGTTACCTGGACGGCCGGGTGGCGGCCAGGGCCAGTATGGTAACGGCCATTGTCGCGAAGACACAGAAGCAGGCGCAGCGGGAGGCGGAGGGGGCGCGGGGGAAGGGGAGGCCGCGCTCGGAACAGGCAGTCCTTTTGCGCGAGTGCCAGAGGTGACGGGCCTCGCATACACATGCTCCCCTCGTGCTGCTCTGCTGCCAGTTTTCGCCGTAGATCTCGTTTCCGATCGGGCAGTTCCGCCTTGAACGGTTCCCTGGCGGAGAGATGCAGCTTGCCTAGGGGGAAGCGCGAAGGAGCACTGGTTCGCCCCCCCCCCCCCCCCCCCCCCGGGCGTGCGTGAGTCGGCGCGTCCTCTGCTGTGGGCTGGGGCGCTGCACGATGCTCGACGGCATGCCGACGATCTTCACGTTTCTCCCCCAGGTGGGCTCCACGGTGCGTTCCAGGAAGTGCAGGTACCTTCCTGCCGACTCGGGCAGCCACTGCTCCATTGATATGAAGTCCGCAAGAAGCAATTTGGAGCATGGCCGCCACCACGATGGGATAACTCATGGATATCTTCGTCAAAGCCCATCCTAATGACGTGCTCGCCCAGCCGAGATGCTCGAGGCCTTCTCTGATATTGTGAACGAAATCCAATAAAATCAGCGCTGGGTCGCTTTCGACCGCCATGAAGGATACCGAGTAGCTATACAGGATCGCACGTCGAACGTCGGGGGTATTGACGATCATGTCGCGTCCTTGCCAGTGTATGGTAATCGTTCCCGTCTCCGGTGCTTGTGCCGAAACAACTTTGGCTGGTCCCTTCCAACTTGGCACATCCTTTGGCGCTTTCCCCGGCTTGTGAAAATCCACGAGGTCTCCAATCTCCAAATGCAGATCCTCCGTCGCCGGGGCAGTCCGTGCCTTGGCCGCTCGTTCCGTCCTCGCTTGCGCCGTCGCCTCGATGATGGACGCGGTTGCGATCTCTCGGAGCCTCTGAGAGTGCCTGAGCATAGCCAGCCCATCTTCATCATCCAATTCTTGAGCTCCACTCCTGTCAAAATCCCTGAGAACAAGAGGCACACGTCCGTAAAGTGCTTTGTAGGGCGTGCCTTCTCCGATCGTCAGGAACGAGTTCTTGGCGAGAACTGCTTCGACCAATCTTCGAGCGAAGGGTAACTTGATGCCGAGCTCTCGGAGATGTGCGTCTATGACGTGCAGCTGCCTGCGTAGTAAATCATGATGTCGTTCGACGACTTGTGCGTGTTGTCCTGGAGCCTTGAGCTTGCGCGTGGTACTTATGCGTCCTAGGGCCACTCCAGCTTCTTCCGATGCCATAGCTCCTTCGCCGTCGACGGTCATTACTGCGATAGGCTCGAAAACCTGAATCCAGTTAACCCAGATAAGATCCAAAAGCGTCTCGATCGTCTTATCTGGAAGTTCTCGCGCCACGGTAAACCTGATACAGCCGTCGATAAGATGTCCAACAACGCGTCGTTCATAAAATAGGATGTCCAGCTGCACCTCGTCGTTGA